GGAGTCAAGTGGACTGAGACCACCTCTTTTATGAGGTCTCACTCCACTTGATTTAGTGCAGATCTGAGTGTGATTGATGCTTTCATACCAACGGAAACGAACCGAACTAAGAGCTTCTGTTTCTAAGGGAACGTTTGGTGTGCACCAACTGCTGTCGGTGTGAAAGCACCCTAAATACAAGTGTTGCCCTAGTTACCTTAAAAAATCCTCTACTTAACTGACACATCACTGAGCACATCAGAAATCTTATATAATTATTGGGTTATCTGATTATTTTAGTTATCTGACTTTTTACTGTCCATTTTTGGCTGTTCCATTTGGTTGCTAAGTTGCTCATTGATTTGAAGTCTAGCCACATTGCATCTTGTTGTTGTGTTGTTGTATCTTTGTGCAATACAGTCATACACCCAAAATCTATACATGTGAAAACACAGTTTGCGTAAATACATGAAAAAAGTCAGGTACAGGTTCTTTAAAAGGGAGAAAAAACTATTTGTTGATGTAAGGACAAAGCACATCAGGTTACGCTGACCTAAAAGCCCCACATCTTGACTGAAACCATGCAGTACTTTTCACACAGTTTTTGCCTCTTAGGTAAAACCTGCTCTGACAGTTGCCTTAACGTGGGTAACAAAAATCACTCTTTCAGGGCGAGCTCTTTATTTACAATTCCCATCGTTGTTTTGTTTTATCTCTCAGTTGATCCAAATCTCGTCCATGTCCAACTGCGCAATGCTCGAGTTTGCCTGAGGATATAATGGCAACAACAGCTCAACAATATTCCCATAGTACTACAAAGTGGGTGGAGGTCTACAATGTGTTACTTTAAAACAGAGAGAACAGAGGGCTTTTTGTAACTTTGAAATCGTTTATAATGTTCTTCTGACAGATCCTAAATTTCTACAGGAGAGAATGTTCTGTTCTTTGAAGCAGGGCAGAACAAGTCGCTCCAGAGCCCACGGATGTGACATGGAGGAATTACTTTGAATAATAATTGTACTGACCAGGCGACCCCAACTACAGCCATGTCTGTTCTCAGTAGCAGTTAGCCATTGGACTTACAGAGAGAAGCTTTGACCCCATCACATCCACTGTGGTCAGAGCACATATGCCACTCAAACAGAAAAAAAAGGAAACGTGGATGTAGTTAGCTGGACAAGTATACTATGCCGGACTTTGAGAGGTTATGGTAGACTTTATTCCTGTAGGGAAATTTCACCTCTGCATTTGAGCCATCCTTTAAAGTGCCTATATTACACTAGTTTCTAGTCTACATTGTTTCCTCATCAAAAACATACCTGAAGTTTTGTTTTGTCTCATTAACACATGATTTTCTCTCAAACTGAAGACACCCCGTTCCACCTTGTGATGTCAAATGGTAATACAGTGTTCTAATGTGTTTTTAAGCTTTATAAAGCGTCACTAGAATCATTTGGAGACCTGGAATCTCTACTGAACTAAAGGTAAAAGGTAGCTGTTAACTTGAAAAGTACCACTACATGACATCACAAGTTGGAACAAAGCATTTTGAGCTTTGTAGATGTAGACAGACTAATAAAAAAGGAATAAAGGATTACTCAACCATGTGTGTATAAAACAAAACTGAACTCCAGGTATGTTTTTAATGAGGTAACATTATAACATGGCTAAAAGTTCATGAGAATCCATTTTGTTGTAATATAGGACCTTTAATGCTACTGAGGCAATTTGTCAAGAGCTGTGGGCGGCACCCAGGGACCCACCTCCAAATCTTCAGTTAGGCTTGTGAGTATTGTTTAGCTGGAGGACTTTGACCTGTTGTGTATGGTTTGGGTTAATCGGGGAAACAGATATGAGGAGAAACACAAACTCTTCACAGATATCTTGCTTTCTATTAGACGAAATCCCCATGTGTCAGCAAACCACATTCTCTATAAATATTCCTTTTGATTTATATTACTAAGCTACACCCACTCTTATGTCCATAAAGCATTTATCAAGGTTTGTGCATAACATGGTCACAGATCATGGTTCTGAATCATACTGATGAAAGGGAAGTAACATGAGTGGGTGCATATGGCACAATAAACAAGTAAACAATAATAGATACATAAAAACTAAAGAGTGTCCTTTGTAAAACATTAATAATAACTTTCTGAAGTGGTGATTCCATAGAGTCAGGTTTATGGAGATGCAAGCCTGCACGGAGTAAGGATGCAGTGCAATTAACACAACCAAATAAAGATAACTTTTCATTTATGTTTTAGGCTAAAAAGTTACAGACTGTGGCTTTAAGTAAATGAGTTCCTAAGTACAGTAACACCACACTGTGCCTCTCAAATTCCAATCTTCAATACTTGTAAGTGGATGGAGAGGTAGTCGTCTGGACTGAACACAGACATTTGGCAGTGAAACGTGAGGCATCAAACATTACAAATCGACTGAGCGACTCTCTAAAGATCAGCACAACAGACGGATGAAATCATCTTTCATTTGTTCCTGGAAGAGTTCACTTTCACTTTGGCTTTGACTGTGAATAATAATGACACAAACTGCTAAAGTCGTTTTCAAAAAGAGGAAGTTTGTCATTTGGTGCTGACAGAAAATGTACAGTATGAGCCATCTGATGTGAGGGAGAATGCAAACAGAAACTTAATCCGTTTATAAACAAGCCTGTATGTCACAAATCTATATTGCTTAATGGATTTAAGCAACAAATTTTCAGCAGCCTGTGATAAATATCAGTGTTCATGGTCCTGTTTAGGTGTTTGATTTTCAACAAAAAGGTGAGAGTGACTTACTGAAACTGTAGACCAATGCTAAGATAGCCTGTGACTGTAATATAAATGCAAAGAGACTAGTTTAAAGCGCGCAAATCAGTTCACCTGTTACAGTTCCAACAAAAGATTGAAGTTATAACAAAGCTGAGATTAAAGTCTCACTTGAGTGACAGACAGAGCAGTGCCTATAGTTAGCATCACCCTCCTGAGAATGTTGATAACATCAGCTGCAAAGAATCAATTGGCAGTTACTCTAAAAGTCACATTCAAATTCACTTCACTTCAGTTGCCATGGCGTCTGATGGTTGGATGTTTTTGCAACAATCGAACTAAAAATGCATAATTTAAACATCTGTCCGGGGAGTACAAATGAATAACAGCCCGCAGGCCAACTCCGACGCTTCCACAGAATGTTTATTAATGTGCAATGTCCCTGACAAATAAACCATAAATTAAATTAAATTGGGCTCACTATTCTTTTATTGCCGTCTTGTTGTTTTTGCGCTCTGGCATGAGGGAAAACTACTACATATTTGTACATTATTTTGTTCAAATTTTGCAGGAAAGCAGTAAGCTCAGACATTCTAGACAGGAGGCAATGTTTTTTATGTTGAGACACAAAACTCTTCCATCCATCTATATTTTCTCTACTGGGTTAAGAATATTTAAATGTGGTAACACAGAGCTATTAATTAATTAGTATCTTCAGGCCATACTTAGATAATCTTTCAAATCAGTTTGATGGAGTTGTGATCCAAAATATGTCGGGTAAACAAATTATTTCTGAACTTTTAATTTTGTCGTTAAATTAACAGTTCAGAGTGATGAAGCAAGGACAGAGAAGCAGTGATCTATTTCGAAATATTAAAATCCAGACATTTTTATCTAATTAAATATGCAAATGTTGTTGCTCAGGCTCATGCTGATATACACTGTAAAAAGAGTCTCAGGCAAATGATGCAAGACTTACAGTGAAATAAGCACAACACATTTCATAACTTTGTCTTTTACTTTTTACAGAAGTTGACTCAGTAATTATGTATTCTATCTTATCTTTATGAGTATGTACTGATACTGTGCACTGACAATTCAAGAAAAAATACTGTAGAAAATGGATTTAAACAGCACATTTTCAGGAGCCTGTGATCAGTTTAAGAGTGCATGGTCCTGTTTAACTGAATGGTACTGTGAAAACTGAAAAACAGTTGGCTAATCCTAGCTAATATTACAGTGACTGTCATGTTATTTGAGAGGAACTTGTTGAACAGCACATATCAGCTGACCTGTTGTAGTTTCAATTAGGTCAGTTGTTTTTGGTCAGACTGTGTTAAAACAAATCTCATATTAAGTCTTACTAGCATAAGAGAGCTTCAGACAGATCAGCACTTCCAGTTAGCTTTAGACCCTCAGGGTAGAGCCCTGACCCTAACCAGACCTAAACCAGAACTAAACCAGAACTAAACCAGGTCTAAAACAGGACTAAACTCAGGACTAAAACCAGGACCAAAACAGGACTAAAACATCATTTAGCCAGGACTTAACCATGCTGCAGCCTCACTGTTTGGGACAATTTCTTTCTGCTTCTCCATGTTTGATAGAGCTTAAGAAAGTGAACCCCCCAACTTGCGGAAATATTCGCAGATGCGAGCGGGATTGAAAATTACAATTCCTTGTGGAAGCGGGACTGAAAATTCTGTCCCATGCAGAACTTTAGCTCAGGAAACGTTAGTGATATCAGCTGCAAAGTATCATTATCCTATAGATAAGCGTACAACTATAGGTGACAGCCACGTACTGTCATATGCCTGTACTATAAGCAATACAGCGTTACAAATATCAGCTTTGGAGAATTCATAGCAAGGATACTCAAGATACCACCATACAATATCTTTGCTGAATCTAAAGAAATATAACATAACGCTGAAGGCACTGTACTGGGAACCAACCACTCTGCCAACATATGCCATATTAAGTCAATATATTAATACTATATCCATCTATATAGCTTTTTAAAGTGCTCCAGGGTGCCAAAGCGCTTACTTAAATGTGGCTACCATTCTTCTCACCACCAATCAACAATTCCTCTTACACTTACACAGGCATAGAGGATGCAGTGTCTTGCCAAAGGACATAAAGGACAATGACAACAGTGGATTTCAACCATCAGCTTTCACTTTAAAGGAAAACCAAGTAGAATGCATTTTTCTTCTCATATCTTGACCATTGTACTGCATTTCTTACCTGTGTCTTTGCAGGTGAACTTGGCTTTGGGGTCACACATCCTCTTCGTCCCCTCGCAGTCCTTCTCGTCCCCTCCGTCCTCACAGTCCTTGTCCCCGTCACACCTCCAGCGCTCCGGGATACACGTCCCATCAGTAACACAGAAGAACTCCTCCTCACTGCACTCGATCAAAGATGGCAGCACTGGAAAACAACACATGAGTTAGACATTTCATAGGTTTTAACTTCCTGTTTAAAGGTGACATTTTGAGGACATTTCACTATTCAAAAGATAGATTTTCTATTTAAAATATTAATGCTATGGAAAAGGTGCTTATTTTTCATTACTCTGAAACCCATGGATTACCACTCCAAATAATGTATAATTGTAGTTAATTTTGCAGTGCAGGTAATAGAGAGCAGGTAGCCTAATAGCTTTTTCTTGATCCAACTATTATTGTTCTCTCTTTAACCAATGGTGGCATGAATATTTTTAAACAAGTTCAGATAGTTTGCTTCTTAATAAACCCATTACATCTGCAGTATTTAAAGGTGCAGTGTGTATCTTTTCTGGTGGAGGGTCTGTCACCTGCTTGTTTCATTGGATATGTCATTGCTCTGCCTAGAATGTTCCAAAGTAGAACATTAAACAGCTCTACCTTACGTTTATTCAATTACAGGTGGTTTTACTGCTCAAAAATACCTCGACAGATCTGATATGTAACTTGGTCTGGTGTGGTTTTCATGAAGGAAGGTTTAATGCCATACTGTGAAACATTCCAGACAAAGCAATAACATCTCCATGGAGAAAAGCATTTGATGGACCCTCCACCAGAAAAAGTGTTAGAAGCTCATATATTAAATTTGCAGTAGTGGGATGCCATTGGTTCATTTGAGAGAAATGGTATTGTTTTATAATCTCTCATCTCTACCTTTGTATGTTTCCTGACTTTTCAGTCTCATAAGTCGCTAACTAATGCACCATTACCAGATGTTTTACCTTATGTGTTATATGTAAATTATTCATCATTCAATTCAAATTAAGCTCTCACCCATGTCCTTATTAACACTCCATACACAATTTTGTGAGCCTTTTCTACACCTATGATATCATTCAGATTTATTAAACCTCAGAGATGGGTAGAATACTGTTACTTACAAATAATATTGCTCAAGTAGAAGTACAAAGCAGTTGTCCAAATTTACTCAAGCAAAATTAAAAGCAGTTGGTGAAACTAACAAGTAATTGTACAGAAATAAAGTTTGATTGATTATTTTAAGTTAATCTAGTCTAAACATAAAAAAAAACCAAAAAACACTAAAAAACATTAAATAATAGGGATGTAACAAGAACCAAAACATTGTGATACTGTATCATCAAAAGTCTCACAATGATACTGTGGGTCGTCACAATATAATGAATTACAAGTCTCTTTGCTTAAATGCATTTTTTTATAGTTGCAATAGCTAATAAACATCAGGAACTACATATCCCATGATTCATCTCAGCGCAGACAACATGAAGAAATACATTTTTACTTGAATTCTTGGGATTATGACAGTAATAATTCACACCAAAATCTTGTCAGGGTATTTTAAAAGCAAAAAAAGCATCCTATTTACATTTATACCAGCCTCTCCAAAATATCGCAATAAATATCGTAATGTGAGATGCATATTGTGATAATGTCGTAATGAGAGATTTGGATATCGTTACATCCCTATTAAACAATATACACATTTTGGTAATTTTCAAAGATTAGGCAACAAAAAAAACCAAACAAACAAACTCTAAACCAGTACAAAAAACAAATCAATTAATTCTGTCAATATAAAGCTTGTGTGACCTGGAAACTTACTACTAGTATTAAGTGTAACCAAAACTAGTACTGTTACATTGTAAAATATAAGTAGGAGTAGTAAAAGTATAATGTCTGAGCAGTACAATATTATAAACTCAAGTAAATGTACCCAAGCACTGCACATCTCTAACTGCAATGTAAAAATATGGTAACAGCTGAGCCCCTTCTTAGAGCCATGATCCCCTGAGGAGTGGGAAGAGGCAGCGGACACAGGGGAGAGGGAGGTCCTGGAGTTTCTATTGGGTCTCTGTTTGATGAATAGTCCAGTCGTCTCAGTGACAGGCCAGTCAGCTGTAAGGTTCCTTTAAAGCTAGCGTGAGCGTTCTACAGTAATTAGATTAAGTGATTTGTGCTAAAATCTACCCACTACTGCGCCCAGATAAGATTAGTTACACCTGACTGTGAAAAGTTATTTGACTCAAGCTGATTAATTATTAAACCCAGTAATTACAGGGCCAAAATGTGTTCCCTAATTTCACTTGCAAATTAATTAATTACAACCTAATGAAAAATAATGTTAAGATGCAATGTTTAAATAAGTAATAATATTTAAAGAAAACTCCCATTGAAGGTGTAATAAATGTACTGCAGATGGCTTTATGTCCGACATGACAAACAGCCCGGAGTGCACTATACCAAAGGGACAGTGTACTTCATTAGTATTTGATTTCAGCTGCGGTTCTAAAACTGTGGCACTGGTCCCAAAAGTGGCACATATGCTGTTAAAGTGTTACAAGAAATCTCTGTGATATATGAGTTGAGAAAATACATTTAGCAATTTTAGCAATATTTTCTTGACAATAATGTATTAACATTTTTGCATTCCCTGTTTTTTATTTTATTTAATGTTTTTTTTTTTTTTTTGCAGGATTTTTATTATTATTTCTTTCTTTATTTATGTATATATTTGTTTATTTATTTAAATCAATGTAATATCCAATTTTGTTCTCAAAACTAGTAACTCACTTGCTTCAGGGAAATGCTTTTTGCTCCATACTGTGTCCAAGTAAATGAGTGAGGAGTGTTGCAAAACATTTTCTTCCCTCCTCTGTAGGGTGGGTGATATGCCAGAAAATGTATAACGATTTTCTTGAATCATGATAAAATCATTTTGCACTACAGCTCCATGCAAAAGTTGGTATCTTTACAGTGCCCTAAAGATGTAACTAAAGTCCGTTTCATTTGAAAGCATTGCCATTGGTTAAATCCACCTGTGACTCACACAGAGCATTGCTTAGGCTCACCAATCTGAGGTGTGCTTGGTAAAAAGTGTCTCTGAGCATAGGGTTGCATTTACAAGAAAATTTGTGACTTACGATACGTCATTTTCATAAAAATACATAGAGATTTGATTTTTATCACCATATTGCCCTGCCCACATCATTGTTCATTGTTTGGGTACGGGCGCTTTAATCCCAGAGTTTAAACCGTATTTGAGACAGAGTTTGGTTGTAGAAGTAAAGATATGTCCTTACGTGCAGATCCCCCTCTGCAGGCGGCCCCCTCGTCGCTGAAGTCCCCACAGTCGTTGTCCCCATCACAGGCCCAGTGGTCCGGGATGCAGCGCCCACTGTTGCACTGGAACTGGTTATTGGAGCAGGACTGGACACATCCGGCCTCATCACTGTTATCTCCACAGTCATTCTCTGGAGTAACACACACATTTAAGAAATATAAGCTACAGTAACAATTAAATAAGTATTGGGAATTTGAGTATTCAAAAAGTGCTCACCAGCATCACAGTGCCATTGGATATTGATGCAGCGTCCATTAGAACAGCTGAACTGAGTGAGAGGATCACACGTGGGATAGGCTAGAAAACAAAGTTGTGTGTTATTATTACATTGGTAACTGATACATATCTGTATTTATTCAGTTCTCTTTTTTATCTTTTAGACCATTATTTACAAAACATTTCATATTGTGAATTTACATTGAACTTTGTAAGGTGAAACAAGTTGAATGATTCAATTTAAGCTTTGCCAGAACAGTGAAGACTGAAGCTTCAAGTTAAGTGCAAGTTAAAACCACTTTCATAAATTTATCTCATTCATAAACCAAAAATATGAGAGATTATATTGTCATTGGTTAAAATTTTGTAGTTTTAGAACATATTTGTATTTCTCATAAGTTCTCTATTGATGTGCTTTTGTTAGAGGCATTTTGAGCACTTTTCATTATTTTAAATTGATAATTGCTATGGCAGCGGTCCTGATTTTTCATACAATCACAATGTCACTTTTAGTTTGAAACATTTTTGGAAAGCACCTAGAAACGGAACTGAATTATAGCTAATATTCAAAATATATTTCTGTAGCATCATGTCAACATTGTTAAAGAAATCATAAGCAACAAAAATAAAATAAAATAATTCAGCAAAGGTCAGAAAGAAGAAACATCTCTAGTCTTTCATGCCTATGCCTTGCTACTTTCTCTCACCTCTGAACACATTTCTTATTCATTACAAACAGTACTGGTGCTTCTACTTTCTAGTCTGTTGTCAGAGTTGGGTCAGAAAGTGCACTGACACTATACAGTCAATTCAATTCGACATAGCCACATTATTTGGGGCTATATACTGTACTGTATTTAAACTTGACAATGGCGACAAAGGAAAACAAATTACCACCTGCGCAGTCAGCCAATATCTGATGCAGCCAATAACGCTTCAGTCAGGCCGACTTCATGAGCTAAACTGGTCTATTTTAAAGCATCAATATTCCCTATCAGAGTCACTGTCAGAGACGAATACAGATGGTTTCAGCCGATACTGTGTCAAGATCGTGTGCTGACGGATATCACTCTCATTTCAGGTTATATATAAAGTGCTACATGTGGAAGTTTTATTGAAGAGCATGTAACCTCGCAATATTGGTGATAATTATGTACAATCATGCTGTATGCAGAACTTTACTTTTGCCACAGCTATAGGAAAAAAAAAAATAAAATCAAAAATCATTTTTTAACTTTCAAGATTTTACAAGCTATATATTTTTTTTATGTTTTTATTTTAATGTGCAATATGTGACTGTTCAAGTGGAGGGTCCGTCTACTACTTGACCATCTAGCATTTATATCACTACTGCTGTGTTAATTGCTCAAAAGCAAATAGAAAAACATTCACTGTATTGTACTGTGAGAGTGAGTATACAGTAATAGTCTAGGAGGATTAATACAATACTGTAAAACATTGTTCAAGCTCCACTGCAACAGCAAAGTTAATGCATTTTAAATACAAAAACAATACCTAAAATGCTAATCCTAAAGAAAAAAAAATCATTAAAACAAGCAATGTGTGTGTTTTTAGCATCACTAGTACTAGTACTGTTACTCAGGCTTTCACTTTGTTCAGGTTTAGAACTGGCTCATGTCCACCGTCTTGTAAATCACAGCCTGCATTCACACTTGTCCTGGTCTGGTCCTGGTCTAGTTCCATGTTTAGTTCCATGTTTAGTTCCAGACCAGATCACTTATGTGACTGGATTATAACCTACCACAATAATGCTCAACCAATGGGTGCAGTGTGGTGTTTCGTGGTGAGTGGAGCTGCTCATGTGCGTGTGTCCCGGCCGCTTCCGTACAAACAGGCAGAGGAGTGTAAGCACTGATTAAAGTTCATGCTCGGCTTCATTCAATCATAATCACGTCGCACAGCAGAAACACAGCCTCCTCTGGCTCTGTCCTGTCGTGTGCACCTCCTCACATGACTCCTAATACATACAACAGTTTCAGTGACCTGAAGGACAGATGTTTTCAGTTTTAGCTTGGATTTGTGCAGTTTTATTTAGTTAGTTGGACATGTTGTTGGAACTTACTTTGGGGGAGATTTTTCATCTTTTATTTTAAATCAAAATAATTTGCCTGTACACCAAGAATTGGTGAATTGACATATTAGCTGATTCAAAGGTCTGCCGTGTAAATCTGCTGGTGGTGGGTACACCATCTGCTTGTTTCCATTAAAATTTTATTGCTTTGCCTGTAATGTTCCACAGAAGCCTATTAAACTTATTTTCATGGAGGCAAGCAGGAGGTGACATCAGGCCAAGTTACAGGCCAGATCTGTGGAGAGGCCATCCTACTCACTGCAAGAATGCATGTTTTTCATTGCACTTTCATGCAATAAAAAACACACATTAGGAAATAGATACACAATTAAAGTGTAAAAAAAATCTGATTTTATTAACTTTAAACAGAGGGTATTAATTTTTGCCATCCCCTGTGTGACTGTGGCACTTCACTTAGCCTTCTGTGGAGCTACTGTGGGTTTTCTAACACCTGAGGCTCTGTGGTGGTCGTCTCAGAGACTGATGCTAATTTGAATTTTGTTTGTCAGTAGTTTAGCAGTTGTTCAGACTCCTCACTCTGAGCTGTGATTATTTATGGATGCCTGTGTTTCATTTATAGCCGGGTCTACTGTTTACTTGAAACCGTCATTATTTATGCATGTTACTCCTTCATATTTAATGGACGTTAAACTTCCCGTCCTGGCTTCGCTCTGACAGCTCCACGTAACATTTTGAGGGAAATATGGCGGCTACATTTACAATACGTCTTTCCTGACACAGCCACAGGTATTCCAGGCAGCAGATGCCCAACAAATCAATTTAGATGTAGACTTGCATTTCATGGTGTAGTCAATAAATCTTCAGGCAGCTCCAGGAACGGATTTTGAAAATATATAAAGAGCTCCAAATCGGAAATGAGAAAGATATCAGTCAGATGTCACCCATGACATTGTATCAGCTCTAAGTATCTGCTATATATACCTACTGTAGCTGTTATGGATCGAAGTACAGCAATGGGTAGACCAAAGCAGCACTCTCATAAATATGGAGTACTTTTTAAAAAAATAATGTAAAAATCACTTTCTCTGTGAGTAGGGTCTCCTCTCCATAGACCATTCTAGATAATCTCCCCTGCTTGTCTTCATGGAGATTGAGAAGTTTAAGCATATTGTGGAACATTTTGAGACAAGCAGGCAGAAAACCCAGAAAAGTTACATAGTGTGACCTGTTTCCCCAAAGTATTTTTAAAGACCTGAACACATAAGACAAGAGAGTTTACTGTACTGCACTGATTTAATGCAATTAGTGACTAAGGAAACTTTCCAAACACTTCTTCTTCTTTTTTTTTTTTGTGTACTATAATACTCCCAAACATATAAACGCCTCCAAAATGCTCCTTTCCCTTCAATAAAAATGCTAAACACAACTTCAAAGGCTGTAGCCATCACAGCAGGCCATATATTTTTCTCATTTATGTTTTCCAAGACTAATCCTCAAAACTGACAATGCCTTTCTCTCACAGAAGCTGACACATTGTATAATACCACTGGGGCCAGAGCAGGAAAGAGCCAGTCTGCAGTTTATTTGGCAGCACTCCTCTGCGCGTCATACCACCGCCATTAAAAGCATGTCTAGTTTCTGACCCAAAGAACACAACATCAATCATTCATACCCTAAGCCTGGTTTAGTGCAATCAAGTAAAACATGCAAAAAGACTTCAATATGAGTGGACTAGACAGGCTGCTAGAGAAGTGAGTTATTATTGGATGTTTTCAGTTAAAATGTAATGGGGCAAGTGAATTGGCTCAACTGAGATTCTCAATAATTTGATAGTCTCAAATACCATCCCGGGGTGGGTGATATTGACAAAAATGAATGATATTGTTATGTGTTTGGACTATCTCAATTATAACACTCAGATAATATTATGGCAATCTATCAGAAATCTGCTAAAATGTGCCTAAAAAGTGTCTTGGTTCAGGTTCAAATTAGAGCGTATTTTGGGTCTTTTTTTTATTATAGACCATATTCATTTTTTTTTTCTCCCTACACTATTCATCTTTCAGTATATCTACCAACTTAAGTACCGTCTCATAAAATGTTGGCTTGACAAAACAGTAAAATCGAAATACAAAAATGACTCGCCAAAATTGCAAAATGCGTCGTCATTCCAAAGGGAAAACTAGAACAATTTACCATATGCTAATGTTTCTACTGCCCATTGCCTGATTATAACAGAAAAAAATAAACAAACAAAAAAAGAAAAATAGCAAGACTCTACTCACATAGGAGTCATGCCAAAACAATCTTGCTCTTATATAATGTTAACTTCCTGATGTTTAACGCTACTGCAATGAAAATAAATAGTTGCATCTATTGTCGCCATGGTTTTTAGCCAGATCAATTATGTCATTATAATGTAATTGATAAGTCAAATTTTTTATCTTCAAAACAGTATAATCAAATATAAATGTAGAGTCATTGTCTAAGAAAGGTTAGCACATTTTTAACAATCTTCAGTGTTTCTTTTTCAAGCCAGTGGAGTTGTAGTTGTGTGAATCATTTTAATATTCATTTGATACTTGACAAGAATAGGAAATTAGGCGATGTTCTTGCTGCAGTCTGTTGGTGGTACAGCTCGGTGCAAACTTCCCAAACACAAGTCCAAACTGTAGAACCGCAGGGGGCGATGTAAAGACGAAACTTCTACTGGCATTTTAATTCATGCACAACAAGGATTTACCAATTAGTAGTGATATCTAGCCAGGCTGTGGAACTGCATTAGCTAGTTGCCAGATGGGGGACTGTCAAGAAATACTAAATTGGACATCTCAGGACTAAAGACAGTTTCGCTGAGGTCTTTATTTTCTCAAAATATTAGAAATTCTTTACTTTTGTTTTGGGGGGTCTTCGTAGCAAATAGTTGGCAAGCATCTAACTCTCAAAGCAACTCGCTGTATGTTTTGTTTTTTCTTTTAGGCCTCCGGTTTCCTGGCAGCTCTAATTTCAGCATCTTTGCATCCATATATTTATAATCCTGTCCAACCATGTCAATCTGGTCTCTGACTTTATCTACAAAATATCTAACATCTGCTACCACTGCATGGATTTTTTCATAATCACAGATAACTTTTGAGTTGTTTTTTAGTTTAAAACAGAAATAATGGCTAGATTTTCAGTTCACACCTTGGGGTAGTTCAACTGATTTAATAACAGATACTCCTTCCTGTAAAGTACTAGTGTGTGTTTCAATGTAGTTATCTCCTCCCTTGAGAGAGATATTTAAAGTGATGAATTTTAGAAACCCATAAGAAATGAAACAGCTACTTAAATGAGTGGCAAAATGTATTCACTCTTAAAACCTACAGAGCCACTTGACAACAGTACAGCACAACAGACCTAATTTCTGTCAAAAAGAAATATAATCTGTTTATAATCTATAATATTATTTGCAGCTTTGATATCTGTTGATTATTTACGTCACACTATGAAATGGTTCTAAAACTGTTTACACTTGGCCCACGAGCCTTTGACGCGTGAATGACAAGCAGAGAAAAACATTGATAGATGACTCACCACATGCTAGCTCGTCTGACGTATCTCCACAGTCATCCTCGCGGTCACAGCTCCAGGCCCGGGGTATGCATCGGCCATTTTGGCATGAGAACTGGTCGGCTTGACAGGGCTGAGCTGAATGAAAGGAAAAACAACCAAGGAGGCCACTTAATTCAATCACGCGCATGTAAGTCAATGCTGGATGTGCACAACAAGCCTAATGATCTCTACATCACTGAAATGTCAATGTCGGCCCGGCAAAAACTATCACTCAACCGGAGTACAGCAGGGTCTAAGGGGGCCAAGGGAGCGCATGGTAAACGGGCGAGAAATTATGTGGCTTTTACAAGCTACAAATAACACCAGAGTGAGATGAAACAGTTTGTGTAAATGTATGGGCACTGGCATGAATTTAAATGAAAAGACTGTAGCTTTCTGGGGTGTAAAGTCAACTGCATGATTCCACGAAAACAAAAAGTTAGAACCATACTGGGGAAGATTCTCCATGGACAGCTGGATGGATATATGCATCTTATGCCATAGTGTGGATTATTATAGCTGAAGGAACGGCACAGGAGTGTACCTTCTTCCAGGCCAAATAAGAGTCAGGTTTGTGGAGATGCAAGCCCACTCAGAACAAGGATGCATTTTTTCAGTTGTTAAATTGTTTTTCTAGTCAAAAAGTTACATAATATAGCTTTAAACAAATAGGTATGGCTACACAGTGAATACTCTTTATGCCCTGCAGGCTGAAGGAATTTAAACTGTTAAAAAAAAAAAAAAAACTTAAATAAATAAAACTAAATTAAATTGTTTTTTTTTTTTTTTTGTTTTTTTTTTGTTTTAATGTCCATATCACACTTAAACATGTAATGTTTTTATACCACAATTAGTTAGTTAGTTTTTCTACGTAAAATCTTGTTAAAATCTACTCAAATGACGCACTTTGAAAATAGACTAATACAATAACTTAAAGCAGGTGTGTCAAACTCATTTTGGTCCGGGGGCCGTATCCAACCTACTTTGATCCCAAAGGGGCCGGATCAGAAAACTCATGGCATATAAACCCCAAAAATAACAATAACTTCAAATATTTGTGCAGAGAAACGCAAATCTATTACAGAAATCTTTTTTAATTGATGAACTCTTTCTTATTATAATATTATAATATTATGAACAATCTGAAACTTTAAGAAAAATTCAATTTCAACACAATGTTTTAACATGAACGTGTATGCAAATATGAATAAGTCAATTTTTTGGAAAATCCTGCACTCGGCTCCACTTTTCTCATTTTGGACATTTTGTTGATGAGGGTGTCACAGTCAACAGTCAAAACGATCGTCCTTTAAGAGCGTTTGGAAAGAGACAAGTCTTAATTTGTGCTGCTCTGGTGGGAGGAGCCACGTACAGAGACGCTGGAGACGCTGCTATGCTAAGCACCGCAGAAAATTACCAATATTTTAATAGAAAATATAATTAAAATATTTTAGTAGAAAATCACCCTAGGGCCACATTAAAGGTCTTGGGGGGCCGGATCTGGCCCCCGGGCCTTATGTTTGACACCTGTGACTTAAAGTGTTCCATTACCGAACAAAACCAGTTCTTTAAATACTTCTACTAATTCATTCCTTATCTTGGACTACACTTGAGCACTATTTTTCATTTTAACAAAGCCAGCATTTAACGGAATTATACAAGGTTGTATCATCAGGCTAAATTTTTACACATACTCTGAAATACTAATTAATGGCAATAAAACTATATTGTGTTACAGTCTAATTTGAAAGTTAATTGTGAGAAGCACAGTTTGGTAACAGATTTTGTGGCAGCATTGCAGCAATTAAGTAGTTACATTTTAATATTCACTGGCTGTGCTCCTCTACAGAAAACATACTCCTAAACTTAAACAAAGGAACATAGATACATACGGTAGATCATAAGTGGTAGTGACGTGTGCATAACCCGTACTCACACTGAAACGCTTTGATAGTGAAATCCGCTCACACACGCCGAGACTGACTGAAGAGAGGCATCACACCCATTCATGTCTTCAGACGGATATAGCCTCAAGTCAAATGTATGAAAGACGACTTAACATGTGGAGATGGCAGTGTGGTCGCATACTAAACATGCATTAGGGCTGCTAGATTAATGCAAAAAACATCATCACAGTCGTAAAGGTTATCACCATGAAAACGACTGCTTCTAGTGTTAAAATGAAGTATAATACAATGTGGGCTTAATATTTTGAATTAGTAATGTTTTGTGAGGCTTTTGTTTAAAAAGATGTAGATAAAAAATAGATTAGGAGGTTTTGAGGGGCAGAATGAGAGTATCCTTAATTGTATTTTCCAACAATATTTTTGTAATTGAATAGAGTAGTACTTGAAATTGCAATGACAAATTTGATTAATTGCAGAGCCATGACATGCATCCAATGATTTCTCATGACAGCTATATCAATCAATAATGGGGTATTGATTATTAACAAACAATGTGTTATGCAGAGGTGATTGAATGTCTTATATACTCTATTGTAAAAACTGATTTTGAATGTGGTTTATTTCATAGTCAACCATATAGAGCAATGCTGTGTGTTGACACACTGCTTGTTATAAATCTAGGTAAAATTTGCAATCCTGCTGTCCAAAATCAAATTACAACTTTATATTAAAAAAGAGGGTTTGCAATTCATTCTACTCAAACTATCTTAATGACATGATGATGTGTATTCACTGATGTAACCAGTGTTTGTTTTTGTGATAGGTAATGCTTTTTGTCTACTTAAGTTGCACATATGCATTCAATCTATCCACTTCCGAACGTTGTCAGGTAACAAATAAATAATCAGATAAGTTGAGATAAGGTGTGATGTTAATGTGAATAAGCTCCAAGCATCTATTTTCTGGCACCACAATAGCCTTTTACACAATCTTGCCTCTTTTCTGTTGTGCTGTTTATCTAGCAGGTTTAAGTTGAGGCTATCTATCCCACTATTGAAGGGTGCAGCTCTGCCTTGTAGCTGCAGACCGATAGCACTTACCTGAGCATGTACTATTGGCTTCATCTTCACCGTTGGCACAATCGTTCATCCCATCGCACAGCCATCTTTTGGGAATGCACCGGTTGTTGCTGCATTTGAACTGATCTGTGGGGCAGGTGTGGTTGGCTGCGAGCACAAAGCACAAAAATGTAGTAAATAATAAAAGTGTACACTATAGAATGTGTTTAAAAGTCATCACTACATCATTTATAGTATATACATATATATAGATCAGTTTTGATATAACTGTAAAATTTAGAAGTCTGACAGAGCACTCAATATGACTCTCCAAGCAGTTTGAGAACAGAGATCCCAGTTGTACGACACTGTCAAATTTGAAGTGAGTTAAACAAACATGTCATTTGAATATGAGTATGAAGAGAAGTGTATTTTATGCAACATTTCGAGAATGTAAAATCAATATATAGGGTCAGAGGCCCATCTCCAAATCTTCTCTAGGCTTGGTCAGGACCAGCTTAACTGGAGGATTATACCTGTGGTGTATGTTTTTGGGTTGATGAGAAAACCAGAGTGCCCAGATACAGAAAGAACATGCAAACTCCACACAGAAAGGCCCGGGTGACCTGAAAATCGAGCCTGGAACCTTGTTTGGCCTGGAGGAGGGCCTTCTGCTTTTTTACAACAAAATGTTGCTGTTTTGGCTATACTCAGCTGGGAAAATCAGGTTGTTGTGTTCTTAGGCAAGGCACTTGACCGACATTGCCTAATATGAAAGTGGTGTGCGTGTGAGTGTTGGTGGTGGTTGGAGGGGCTGATGGCACAGGTTGGCAGCCTGGCTTCTGTCAGTCTGCCCTAGGGCAGATGTGGCTACATTTGTAGATTACCACTATGGGTATGAAGTGAATGATGCTCTGTAAGGCATCTTTGAGTGTCCAGAAAAGTGCTATATAAAACTGATCTATTGCTTCTGATTAACATTGCTATGCCCTTTCAAGACTAACAAATAAAAAGTTGCAATCCAACTACTTTAAGAGTCAAGACACTGAAAAAGCAACAGTTACTCAGATGAATTTAAATGGTCACTCCTCAACACTGATCAACTTTTACTTACAAAACTTTCCTTTAGAAACATTTAGTGACATTTGTCCAAAGCAGGAGATTTTTTTGGAAGTCATTTTTATATCACTTTAGCCGGAGATTACTTCAATATCACGCTGGCTTTTCAGAGGAACACAGCATCAAAGCAGCAGCGGAGTGTCTCACACAAGTGTTGTTTATTGTAGCAATTTGTTAAATTGCAAGTTTTACACAAGTAACAGAGACAGCCAGTGAGGAGGAGGAGCACTTTTCACCCTGCTTTAGCGTTGACATTTCCAACACATGGGCTGACTGGGGGAAGAGTAAGCCTTTTAGAGCATACTATCTCGCACTGTGCATGACTCTGAATCTAAGTACATCGTCACTACTTCATTTTTTATACTGCAACGTGTCGCAAGAACTCTTTTAAGAGGTTCCTTACAGCATATTTGTTCATTCTAACCAGGCTGTATCCTCTGTTGATACAATAGGGTTTGATGTGTGAATCCAGGTGAAGTGTATGTCACTTTTTTGTCTCCATGGTTAAAGCTGTGATTGGTATGTTCCAACTTATCTATCTTGCATTAATTCTTACTGCTAACTGTTGCTTCTGACCTGCAAAGTGGCCTGATGAGGCAACAATACCTATCTATCTCCATGGAGAAAGATGGGTTTAATGCCAAACTGTGGAACATTCCAAGCAAAACAATAACAACATCAAGGAGACAAGCAGGTGACATGCCCTATACCAAAAAAAGTTACATAATGCACCTTTAATGCCAATGGTAACACTAAAATTATGTTGTGTTCTTATCAGGACGTTCAGCTAGGAGATAGCTTACAGACTCAAAGATTTTGTGCAAAAGTAATTGTGGCCTAAGTGATGACTATCACAATCTGGGGATGGCAAAGCCAAAGGCCAGATCAAAGCCAAAATCTTTCACAAATAGAATATACATATATCTTGTATCTAGAAAGTACTATGGTTACTACTATAATAGTTAAACAATTATATTTTCATATTAAGGTAAATTAAAAAGCACAATGTTCCACAGTATCTCTGTATAGGCTATTTTTCCATGTGGGCAATTTAGTTTCTTATAAAGCAAGATTTAAGTGGATCTTACAGCAAATGTGGTTTTCCTCGTCACTCCCATCCAGGCAGTCATCGTCACCATCACACTTCCACAGGGCTCGAATACAGCGCTGATTCAGACACTGGAACTCATCACTTTTACAGCGGTGCACCTCCAAAACATCACTGGAGTCGTCTGGGGACAGGGAAAAAAAGGGAAAGTTATTGGACAAAGCCGAGAGAGCACACAAAAGCTGGTTCATAATTGGCTCATTTTAAGCTCCCTTTTCTTAGAATGAATATGTGGCACCAGCAGAGTGTGAGTCTGTGTGTTTCCAGCCAAGGTGTCTTTTAGTATTATGTCAAGTCAGGCAAACTGGTGTTCTTAGTGAATGGTTTATAAAACAGGGATGTCCAAACTATGGCACGGGGACCAAATGAAGCCCAATTTTCATTGGCCCTGATTTGGCTTCCTACAGAATTAGCTCCAACAATTGTAGGCAATGCTTCTGATTGGAAATAGTAGTGTTTCTACAACTGTAACCTTAATAACATCACATTGTATGACTACAGGTCTAAAATTAGTGTTCCAAGTCTTTGGCTCTGTACACACTATGTAAAATGCTTACATCTCAAAGAATAGCAGTTTAGACCACCTGCCTTCAGCTCTCCATTGTGCATATGTTTCCTCAGTAAGAAAGGTTTGGACATCCCTGATTTAGAAAATCATACTGTATGCTAAACTACCATATGTTAAATGATGTAGGCTTGTAGGGCAATAATTCATGATAAAATAAACAAATTAACAGAAAATGATTAGAGTTTAAAGTGTAGTTTTATTTGTTAATATAGAACTTTGCCTCTAGTGCAAAATGGCTACCAAATAATGGCTAGTGATATTGCCACTACTGGTAAATACATCTATCACAATATAATGGCAGTATACTTTGGAATGACAACTATCTTTAGCATTTAGCATCTTAAAATTTTCATTGGTATAACATTAAGCCAACTGGAAACTCAAAAATGTGTATTTTTGTATGAAGACTCCCAGGTTTTATACTATAGCCTACATTAGCGACATTAGCAACTAACAAGCATAGTTGGTTATATAGTGTAGTTAGCAAATTAGCTTGTTGTTATCTAGCAACTTTTTGTAGTGTTGAGCACATGTTCATATTAGGTCATGTTATATTCCCAGAAAGACAGAAATACCCATTAAAATACACTAGAAAGGGCTCTGCTATCACATTACCATTACAGCTAGCAAGAGCACGATTCCCCCTGAGAATGCATGTGTTACCAGGAGCATGTAGCTAGATCAACTTTATTATATGATCTCATTCCCAGAGGGGGCAGAGGGCTGGATTACTGTATACGTGTAAAAGATGATCTGGTGTGTATCAGATGCATGTGTCCTCCTACCTGCGCAGGTGACATTGTTCTTCTCCAGGACCTGGTTGTCAGCACATGCGCACACTCGGCCTCCAGGGATGGCCAGGCAGAGGGTACTGCAGCCTCCATAATTCACACTGCATGCATTGTCACCTGCGGAGAGAGATGATTCAAATAAGGCGTCTGGCTCATCTAAAAGTGCATTTCTGTAAGTGAATGTTTAGTGTCTGAGAGCTGCCCAAACTGCTGGTCGAATGAACAGATAGACTTCTCAACAGGGCTGTCTTCTAGGCCTGGTTGCTGCAGGCCAAATTTGTTCTTACTGTTTTGTCTGGCAAAATAAAGGCTGAATAAATACAAACAGGAACGACTTACAATTAGCTAATCTAAAGTGAAACGCACAGACTGTATAAAAAAGTTGACTGTGGGGGGATTGGGGTCAGGAATTTATTTACGGACAAAATTGTGAAATAAAAACATCAGGATCATCTAAAACGGGTTAATACAAACATTTTAAGATCAAAATGACAAGGCTCAATGCCGCACTTATAGAAAGAGGAGTGACAATCTTTAAATATAAATTCAACTCGATGTCGATTCAATGGTCACTTCTTATGTGGAGTAAAGTATTGCATTATCTAAATACAGGTACTCAACTGAAGAAATATGAAAAACACAGTGTATAATGTATATATGTATGGTGTTATAAACAATGAATTATAAGATATTAATCTGGGCTGTTTTTGATATAAAAAGAAAAAAAAACATGACATAAAATTAGAAATAGATGGGATACAGATTAAAAGAGTAAACGAAACAAAATTTCAGTCATGATTGATGAAGGTCTAAACTGGAGGTTTCATATAAATTACACTAAAGGCAAAATTTCCAAAGCAACTGCTGTGCTGCATAAAGTAAAGTTCTCACTAAATAGGGCAGCAATATTAACCTTGTGTAACTGTATAATTGCCCCAGTATCTGATGTACTGTATGGAAATTTGGGGGTCAACATGTAAAACTTACTTACAGTCATTATTTATTTTACAGAAAAGGGCCTTGAGAATGATCACCAACAGTCATAATAGAGAGCCAGCAATCCCAATATTTGTTCAACTTAAGGTGTATTGTGAAATGTGTTACCTATAAATATTCAAAGACTATCTGAGATAGGGGTGTCAAACATACGGCCCACCAAGACCTTTAATCTGGCCCTCGGCTGATTTTCTACTAAAATGTTTTAATTATATTTTCTATTAAAATATTGGTAATTTTATGCGCCGCTTAGCATAGCAGCGTCTCCAGCACCTCTGTGTGGCCGCCTCCCACCAGAGCGGGAGCAAATGAAGACTTGCCTCTTTCCAAACATCCTTAAAGGACAATCGTTTTGACTGTTGACTGTGACAGCCTCATCAGCAAAATGTCAAAAATTTGATAAGTGGACGCTGAGTGCAGTATTTTGCAAGAAAAACTGACTTATTCCTATTTGCATACAAGTTAACGTTAAAACTTTGTATTGAAATTGCATTTTTCTTAAAGTTTCAGGATGTTCATAATATTATAATATTTTGTAAAAGAAAAAGTTAATTAATTTAAAAAGATTTCTGTAATAGATTTGCGTTTCTCTGCACAAATATTTGAACTTATTGCTGTTTTTGGGGTATATATGCCATGAGTTTTCTGATCCGGCCCCTTTGGGATCAAAGTAGGTTGGATATGGCCCCTGGACCAAAATGAGATTGACACCCCTGGTCTGAAATGAGAAGCCACTACAATTTTAAATTAACCTACATGTTTAAAAAACCCAGATTCAGAAGGTTATGGAGCAAAGCATTGCCGTGAAAGGAGTTAATTTATGGAATAGTCTTGACAAAGATATAAAATAATTAAATACAACGATGGCATTTAAAAAACACATAAAATCAAATGTGATGTGTATGTATGAAAAAGGGAACTAAGTTGTTGTGCATAATTGTGAAGATTTTTGTTTGCTGATTTTTATTTTTTTTTTGATTAATAATCTTGACTGAACTGCAATGTACTGATTTGAAATATTTTAAAGTAACTATCGGTGTTCATGTATTGTCTAGAAAAGGGGAAAGGGGGCAAATAACATAAGATGACTCTTCTTTCTGCTCCTTTTCATTCATTTCTTGCATGTTTGATGTCTTTTTATACTTTATAAATGAAATAAATCAACAACAAAAAAATGTTTTGGATCAACCAATTAGGTCTAATAGCAGACAGAGGTTTTAAAGTTTTAAAGAGCCATCCACTACTGTAGATTGGGTTTTTAGTTGGGGACTTTTTGTCTCTCATTCAATGTAATAATACAGGAAAGCAAAGGTCACTATTAATTGGAGATGAACAAACTACAGTGCATGTTTGAGCTAGGAAGCATCCCTCTTATTGCATTATTAAAAGTTCAGTTCAGCCTTACTTGTGCAATGGCATATCAAGTGCAGATGCAAATAAAAAACTTTTACATTTTTATCCTTTACGACTGCATAAATAGTCTTTCTGTACAAACTCGAATACTGTCACATAAGTTAGGCATAAGACACCTTTGTCACTTTCATTAAACACAAGCTCCAAAGCAGCAGCTGAGCCAATGAGATAAAGCGTTGGTTTTGTACAGGCCAATCACTAATACTCAAAGGAGCGGACAGCCAATTAATCTATTCAGTGACATGAACAATGGAGGGATGTCCGGGAGAAATCCTCAGCAGGGTGTGATCTGTAGGCTGTGGACACTATAGCAGACATTATAGCATTGAATATTCAGCGCTGGTCTCTCCTACTCAAAATCTGGAACGTCTAATACCTTTGAAAGCAGCACGGAGAGAACTTAAGTGTAAAATATACTGTGTTAGAACAATAACATACAGGCTGGGTGTAGGTGGTTCAACATCACTTTCTTCTATTGTACATTGTGTTAATATTATAACAACTGAAATGAGTCTTAAGTTAAAAGACTTCACTTGCTTGTTATGTCCAGGTTTCTCTTAAGGCTTTGGACAATTGCAAAAATATAGGAGACCATTTGTGACAATTTAAGCCCACTGAGTAGCAAAATACAACAATAAGAGAAAGTTCACACAAAAGTCTGAGGCAGGGTCATCAGATCCACTGTTAGGTCAGTTTGAGGAGAAGAACATCTCTCAGCACAAACGTGTCTCTCCTATGTCCGGCAGCTGAAGCTGAACTCTACTGAAATGAAAAGAAATGCTTACTCAACTGAGCTAAGTCCTTACTGGTTTCAGAAACAATGAATATTGTGATCAATAGTAGGGCCCGACCGATATGGATTTTGTTGCGGCTGATATGATACAAATAAAATGGGAGTTGGAGCTGCTGATAGCCGAGAAAATCGCCGATATATTAAGTGATGTAAAAATTCACTGTAAATCTTGAATTGTTTAACAAACTTAGGTCTGGCTCTAGTGGATTTTAAATTGGGTTTATTTAGGCAACATTTATTGTTATTTTGCCCCTTTATGTCAGACAGTAGGTTGGCCTAATGGTCTTTTTGCATCACATTCTAGCAGCCAGTAAAGAAAGTAAACTACTGCTATTAGCCTTTAGCCGTAAATGTATGCGCGCTGCAATAATTAATTATATGCATAAATGTCGATCATTCACACTTCTATTCACAGCTCATTTACATACCAATGCAGGTCCAGTAATATATATATATATATCGCCAATATAGTCATTTTACAGTAGGTCAATAGAACAGAAAACAGGCTGTTTATGTGCGGAAGCTACAGAAGCTAATCACTAACCAATGAGAAATAACCAAAACTAGCTTCAAAACAGACACACTTCCAACACTCACCGCTCACACAGGCTCCTCTCAGATCACAAGTCTTCACTAATAAATATCCTTTTAATCCAGACTCAAACCAATGGTCCATAAAAAGAATATAATCTCAGTGTTTGGATCTATGGCTGCATGTATAAACAAGCGCAGGTGAGTGACGTGACTCTGGCGGTCTGTTCAGGGACAGTACGGCCACAGACACAGACAAATTACTCTGCAGATAAATACTGATGCAGACCCACATATTAGGACATTTATCTGTCTGTAAATTGGATTAAATGAGCATAATGTAGAGAGTCTAAGATTTATAACAAGATATAGCATGCCCATGTGAAATATCGACCCATATCGGCAAGTTTTAGGCCCATAGCCGATATGTTTACAACTGCCGATATCGGCTGATAATATCAGCCAGCCGATATATCGTCAGGCCCTAATCAATAGCTTAGGTTCGGGTTCTGACTGTCAAACTGAAATTGGTATTATACGATGAAAATCGTAGTAGTATTTTAACCCTATCTTGCAATTGTTAACAAACATTAAAATGTATCTTCATTAGCATTGCATTTGAATCCATATCAAATCTTTTAAAAGGACCATAGGCTAGGAGTTAAGTTTCCTCTTCCTGTGTGCATATTAAACAAACAATCTTGCTAGCAAAATCTTACAAAATACAAATTGAACTCGAATTGTATCTATTCACTATAGCTACAAGCTGCAAGCTGAGACAAAATGAAAAATCTTAGTATCTATTCAACCTTAAGTTCTGTCTATTAATAAAAGGACAAAAGCTACAGCTGTCAGAGCACAGAGCAAAGAGCCGTTTCTCCCTTTCAGCCCAAACGCAGTGAGCTTGTCCACCATGGTGCTCTGCTATGGGAGTCACGCTCCAGTGGCACTAGAGGGGCAGTATTGAAAAGCAGAGCAGCCAAACCTTGCTGGCTGTGAGCGTCGTAAACTCGCAGGCCGAATAGAGGTGGTCTCTCGCTCCGGAGCAGAGTCACGTCTCCACTGTTTAAATCCAGCTGGAACACCGAGGCGTTCATGTACTCCGTCCAAAAGATGAAATTCCGATAGTGAGAAATTCCAAAAGGGTGGTTCAGCTCTTTGCCATTGTATACAACCTGCAAAAAAGTAAGAGTAGATTCAGATGTTTGGTTAAAACTTTAAAATATATTTATGATTGTGTTTTCAGGACATGCATTTAAAACTAATGTGTCCTAAATTTGCAGTTTTGGGTGACTAGAGAGGGGTATCGAATCGGATTTAAATATACTCTTTGACAACAAGAGACTTTAAAATGACAGCACATATTTAACAAGAGTTTGTTAAAATAAACGTAACTCTTTTTTGGTAGTTTTGGTAACTGTTGGCAAATAAAAACAGTGACATGGAAGATAGAACAAAACAGAAACTCAACACTGACACAAAATGAATAAAAGCGTTTCATAGGGTTTTATTGACTATGGAAAGAATCAGAGAGAATTCTATCAGCCTAAAGCGGGATGGAGCTGTTTGGATATGGGCTGTGAAATGATTTGATAACAGTATATGATGAATGCGATTCAATTTTCCTCTGCACAAACCTATTCACACTGTGCTGACTGCCTCTAATAATGTTTGCTGGAATCTTGGCATTGATTAAATAGAATTTGCAAATAATTCATTAGCGTAATCTGCCAGCGAGCGAGTGCGTCCGACAGGAACGGTTAGGGATGGAGGGACGTCTTGTTGGCTTTTGTTTTGGAGGAGGAGCACTCTATCACTGCAAGGCACAGACCTGGCACTGAACACCACACACAAATGTTATCTGCATAGAAATATCAAGTGGGGAACATCTGCAGGTGCTTGATAAAATGTGTATCAGTGTTCGGAATGGATTTTTTGGAAACAAACTAAACAAAATAAACTAAATTAGACTTGTGAGGTTGTTAGCTTTGTCGGAGTGCTGTGCATCTTTCATGTTTGCTTATTTTGGCTAAATTGACAAATTCAGAAGATCAGGATTCACAGTGGGTCCTTAGAACCCCTGAGCTAAACTAAAATTCTAATGGATAACATGTTGAAGTGCTATTATCTCTAATTTAGTATCGATTACCATTTTATAACCTCTTAAAAATCATTCTCTTATTTTTTAAATGTATTTTTACCATTTATATGTTTATCCTTTGTTATTATAACATATTGTGATGTGTGAGCTGCTGAGTCCAAATGATTTCCCTTGTGGATCAATAGTCTAAATCTAAAACAACTTTTCCAATGTGCCCACTGGTAAAATAGATCTTTTCTAACCACAAAAACAATGCAATAAAATGCTGTGATAAAAAGTCATATTAAAACTAAAATGTAACAAATAATGACCTATATTTGGTACATATATACAATGAATGTATGTGTTCTTTAGACAATTTACATTTTAAGACCTTTACTTTTACCTGCAGAGTTGTTTAAAATAGAGTTTACATTAAAAAAAACATTACTTAAGTTTATTAGCTTATATATGTCACCAAAACCAGTTCTGCAACATAGACCTTCAATTGTATAACAAAAATTAGCTTTATTGAATTTAACATTCATGTGCCAAGTTATTTTTGATAAATCATATAATATCATTCATGCAGTTGGTCTTTCAGTTAATGCGTGTTGAGTATCAAATGTGTGGGTGGATAAACTGTAACCTTAAACGAGGCCAGTCACAAATGATGGAATTAGAGTAGTAGCAGTTATTATCTCACCAGGCAACACAAACATTATTTAGTACTGAGATGTTCAAACTGTGGTCTGGACATTTATGGAGGTTCGCTATTATTTTGATCAAGTTAGGTGTTAAGAAAAATGGAAATTAGTAATCATAATCATTACAATAATCACATACAAAGTTTTATGTGCACAAACGTAGTTCAATATGCACAGACACCATAACTCATGTTTTATCATAATAAGAATATATATATTACATAATTATTGCTTTACACCCTTTAAACAATTGTTTAATACTAAAATTAACTCAATTGTGATACCAATGAAAATTTCAACACTTGTTGCATATAATATTGATTAGTATCTGGATTAGATTTTTTTTTTTGACACCCCTAATCCATTTTTCCGTACTCAAATAAAAAATCTATGTATTTATGTATTTGAACTCACCATCCTTCCTGAGCCGTTGAGGTGGATCTTCTCGATGTGGTCGTAGTAGGCATCACACCAGTACATGGTGCTGGTCCCATGGTCCAGGGTGAGTCCATTGGGCCAGAGCATATTTGAAGTCACAAATATTCTTCTGTTTGAACCATCCATCCAGGCTTTCTCTATCCTCCCAATACTGTCATTCACCTCATCCTCCTCCCAGTCTGTCCAGTACATCCAGCTAGAACAGAGGCAAGTCAGAAATACATTAGATTCATTATATAAGTAATACTTTTCGTTACTTAATCATATACTATGGTTTGGTTGCCTTTACTACAACTACAATGATAATAACAAACGTAATAATTAAAAAAGCAATTTTAGAGACAATAATTTAATTTTTCACTCAAATAGTTGGTTTTAATATGGTATATGATACGGATTCATATCTTTTTTTTTTTTTTTTTTTTTTACATAACTACTTCTCCTTATGAGCAAACTATTTTCTTTTGAGCAAATTTAACGGCCTTAGATACACTAAGAGGTTTGGGCCCTTTATAAAGAGACATCTTATGAGAAGCAGAAATACTACTAGTATTTTTTATTTGATTGTAACTATTTTAAAGATCATTTTTACTGGAATGTTGAAGTGCTGTGGCCAAGTAGGATCACTTTCTGGATCCAAAAATATAAAATCATCCCAACTATGTAATGCCAGTGAGTAAAAGCATAGCAGCTACCAAGATACCTGCTGCAACAAGGATTCAATGACTTCTTAAGAGTGTCCTCATGCTTTCAATAAAACTAGCAAGAACATTACATGGGCAGAGTTAAATGAAAGTCGACTAAAGGAATGAATTCAACATTTTGAAGAAGTATTATGATTATGTTTTTCAATAGTGTATTTTCCCTGCTGTATGCTGCTGTGCCTTGCTCCTACCATCTCTGTGCTGTTTAATAGTGTCTCCAGCTCCTCCTGAGTGCGGATAGCTTATCAATCAATACACGTCTGACAGGCTGCCCGGCTGTTGTCTTTCACAATGATGAATCTTATATTGTGGTGATGTGTGTTATCTCGTCCGTTGCCAACACCCTCGTGGAGCCATGGCTACGCTGGTTACAACAGGGATACCAGGCTCTGTGCTGTGCTAAGGCAGAACATACAGTCAAACCTCTGCATAGAAATGTGGTCTCATGCTAGGATAGGTTTGTGCCTGAAATAAAAATGAACTAAAGTACATGTGACGGATGCTGCACTGAATGCTTATCTCCGAGCACAAAAAACGCTACGAATATGAAATTCATGAACTTCATGAACTAGCCTAAAGATGCACAAATTTGTTCCAGAATTCACCACCTGATTGTGTCCAGACTTTAAAGGTGCACACCACAACTTGTCTGGTGTAGGGTCGTACCTTCTTGTCTCCATGGAGATGCTAGTGCTTAGCCTAGAACAGGGGTGTCAAACTCATTTTGGTCCGGGGGCCGTATCCAACCTACTTTGATCCCAAAGGGGCCGGATCAGAAAACTCATGGCATATAAACCCCAAAAATAACAATAACTTCAAATATTTGTGCAGAGAAACGCAAATCTATTATAGAAATCTTTTTTAATTGATGAACTCTTTCTTATTATAATATTATAATATTATGAACAATCTGAAACTTTAAGAAAAATTCTATTTCAACACAATGTTTTAACATGAACGTGTATGCAAATAGGAATAAGTCAGTTTTTCTTGTAAAATCCTGCACTCGGCTCCACTTTTCTCATTTTGGGCATTTTGTTGATGAGGGTGTCACAGTCAACAGTCAAAACGATCGTCCTTTAAGAGCGTTTGGAAAGAGACAAATCTTCATTTGTGCTGCTCTGGTGGGAGGGGCCACGTACAGAGGCACTGGAGACGCTGCTATGCTAAGCACCGCAGAAAATTACCAATATTTTAATAGAAAATATAATTAAAATATTTTAGTAGAAAATCACCCAAGGGCCACATTAAAGGTCTTGGGGGGCCGGATCTGGCCCCCGGGCCTTATGTTTGACACCTGTGGCCTAGAATATTCCATGATGTGACATTAAACATACAGTATCTGTCTAGTATTTAGTCATTACAAGTGTTTCTAATGCTCAAAAATACAATTATTCCTTCTGTGAATAGGGGAGACTCTCCACATATATGACTTGTAATGTAATCTGTTCTACTTCCGTATGCTAGATAGGTTTAATCTAGACTGTGGAATAGGTATGCACTGATTTTCCAGTTCAGATACGATTTTGATGTTATACCTTTAAGTATTTGCAGATTACCGATGTCAACTTATACCAGTGCAAAGACATAACAACAATCATTTTCTTTATTCAAAAATAAAATAAGTGACTGATCTAAATGTGTTATGGAGCTGTTTTTGTTTTGTTTTGTTTATCTCTCTGGGCCGACTATGACCAGCAAATAATCTTATTACCATTATTATTTACAATTATTATTACAATGTATATGCCAAGATAGGATATCGACTGAACCGATATTTGGAAGTCGACATCTGATCCAGGAAATTAGATGAAGATAAGTGGACTCTCACATATCTGCTTTTTATTTTATTGGTCAACAGAAAAGCACTGACATCCTTAGACATGCTTCCATAGTGCACTTTTAAGTTTATAGTAATAGCACAAAAATATGTAGTATATTATAACTGCATTTAGTTACATAATTTAGAAAGGCCAACTTTTTAATTTAAAAAAATCTCAAACCAGGATCTTTAAAATTAGAATGAACTGATCAGGGACAAACTCACCATGATAAATGAAGCCTATGTCCAATACTGTTAATCATGTCTATTCTTATAAGGTACTGGCTGTCAAAGAAAATTGCTTTGTTAAAATACATGATTTTTAGATCCAATACAGAAGCAAACATGTTATGACACACACAGCTTCCTCTAGTGAGCAGCGACTAGAATTTTATCTGAAAAACACATTCTTAACAAGCACCCAATAGGACTCGGAAATGACCTTTTGGTTATTGCACAAAATGGCCTTCCTCCTTATTCACTGATGAAATTACTGAAAAAAAGGACCTGTTCCTGTCATTTACTCATTATTTTGAATGGAAGAAAAAAGTAAAGACTCCATTAAACCAAGAGGGACTGCAACATAGAATATTCATGTGAAAAACTCAAACTCCGTAGTTGACAACAATACCACAATGTCCTCCGAATTATTTATTTATTCCATCAGATTTGATCAAAAGAATCCATATCACAGTCACACAAACTTGTCTGGGCATTACAAGATAAACTGTCACTTTGCTGCGCATCAAGGCAAAGTTACAATCCCATAGACTTGAAATCAGAAACTTTTCAGTCCTGCGCGAATACAACAGGACTGCATCTCTCAGCGGGGTTGTCCCTATATTTCTGCCGCGTGATTGGGTCGGCGATTTGACGGCAGTAACCCAGCCCAGGGGATTTGCTACGTTAGAATGTTTCTGACTAAGTCGCCTGGCCCCCTGTTCCTCATCAATGATAGAGGGGAGGCTAAAGGGAAGATGAAACAGAATGGGATATGCAGGTGAATGAAGACTCCCCATGTGTCCAACTCATCTTTACAACCCTATGAATAATTCAGAGGATCTAGCTAACACTTACATGCATAGTCTAAGGAAGACATAGGCAGAGACAACAGGAGAGGAGAGAGGCAGATGGGCTCGGTAGACAGGCGTATAGCAGGGCTGCAGACTGGGAATAAGGCACAGCCAACACGGAATGCCAAAGTCAAGGGAGTCGGTGGTCAATATGTGCGGAGAGATTGGATTTTAGCAAACACAGAAGTTGGGCAGAGCGATGCCAGCAACAAGGATTCCATTTCAACTATCTGGCAACGTTATATTGTTGTACACTGCGTGCTTAGCTGTAAACCAATTGTATAGAGAAAAAAAAAAAAAAAGTTTTAAATTTAATCAGTTAACAACTACCTGTTACCTTTAGTTCAGTATAAATTGACATTTCCAGGACTAAAATAATCCAAATGATTCTAGTGAAGGTGTATGGAGTTTGAAAATACATTGGAGCCCTTTTTGTACAGAGGGATTGGATTTTAGCAGACACAGAAGTTGGGCAGAGGGATGCCAGCAACAAGCATTCCATTTCAACTATTTGGCAACATTATACTGTTGTAACAGCGTGCTTAGCTGTAAACTGATTGATAGTATGGGGGAAAAAACACATTTGGGAATAAAACAGCACTCTAATTAAGGATGTTTTTAAACTATTTTGGCAAAATAAATACCTTACTTTTCTGACTATAAGTCACCCTTTTTTTCACGGTTTGGGTGGTCCTGTGACTTATACTCTGGTGCGACTTATATATTAAAATTTTCACACTGACAGTCATGAGAGGGCGCTCTATGCTTGTGTGCCAGTATCTGCTACTCCTATTACTCCTGTACCACTGTCACTTGGCTGTACTGTGCATGTCCCCTGCATGTATCCTGCTACAAGCAGTGAAATATGCAGCCGAAAACAATAATCGAGCAGCAGAAAGAAAGCTTGGAGTGAGTGAGAAACTTGTGAGGGACCGGTGAAAGGCGGGGATGAAGAACACAGCATCACGGTAACCAGGAGGGTGCGCCATGCAACTTTCCTGGAAGTCATTGGATGTATTGACAAAGCATGGACTTCAATGACAACCGAAACCATCCTATCAGGATTCAGAAAGGCTGTAATTATGCTAACTGGAACTGATGCCGAGTCTGATGACAGCTACGCAGAACAGGAAGTGGTGCTTCGTTTACCTCCGGAAGTCGTGGAGTTGCTCAGAAGTGACACCGAGGATGAAGAATTCAATAGATTTAGTGATTAGGAGTGAGATGGAGAGTTTCGTTAACCTGTTCTACTCTCTTGTTTATTCTATAGTTATATGAATAACTGTTCATATGTTATGTTAACAGCTTGTTGTTCTCTATTCTGTTGTTATTACTGTAACTTGCCTTTCAAGATGAAATGTCGGGTCCTGGTCTCTGATTTTATAAAATAAATTTTCACCCAAAAGTGAGACTTATAGTCCATTGCGAGTTCTATATGTTTTTTTCTTCTTCATTACGCATTTTTTGGCTGGTGCAACTTGTACTCCGGAGTGACTTATAGTCCGAAAAATACGGTAGGTAGGTGCAGCTTGCGGTGTGTTCAGAATTCATTGCAATTTAGATTCACATAGGAGTATTTGAGGGAATCTAACCCTAG